GCAGGGACAGGACGAGGGGGAACGGTTTGAAGTTGAAAGAGGGGAGATGGAGATGAGATGTGAGGAAGAAATGTTTTCCTGTGCGGGGGGTGAGGCAGTGGCCCAGGGTGCCCAGAGAAGCTGTGGATGCCCCATCCCTGGAGGGGTTCAAGGCCAGGCTGGATGAGGCTTTGGGCAACCTGGGCTGGTGGGAGGTGTCCCTGCCCATGGCAGGGGGTGGCACTGGATGGGCTTTAAGGTCCCTTCCCACCTAAACCATCCTGTGATGCAAAGGAATCACACAACATATGTGTCATAGACTAAATGGATCCACCCACATATAAATACATACACACACTTGCAGAAGTTTATTTATACATATACTGGCTTTGCCTATATAAATATGCACATTCACAAAAAAACCCATAAACTCATCTTGCTATTCATTCATTCCTGTTCAGCATGCACACACTGTGTTTTTGGTATTTTCTAAATCCAATTCTGTAATGAGGAGGGAGAAAAGGGAAGGCTGAGAAGCAGTAAGAAAGAGCTGCTTATTTTGATATAGCAGTGCAAATACCAAAAAAACTGCTGGCTGTAGTCATTTTATTGAACATGGTGGTCCATAAATTTCAACACGTGACTGTGCTCAAACAAAAGACTTCCAAAGCTGCTGTGAAAATAAATGGAAAATTGGATCCAGCTACAAAGGCAAACCACAGGACTGAACGTGCAGCAAATGGCTCCCAACGCCTCCACACCAAATACATATAACAAATGGTGTCCGAAACAAGCTGCTGGAAAAAAAGACAGATCTCACCTGATATGGTCTCACTTTATGGTGTATTTCTTGAATTCCAACTTCTCTTGTCCTTACATCACGACACTAGGAAAATAAAGGGAGGAAAAAAAAATTACATGCAAGAAAAACATTAGGCTCTGAAGCACACAGATTTCCAGCCACCTATTGGGTTCAAAACTAAGCTGAAATAGCATGAAGTTGCAAGGATGAACTTCAAATGGGTAGACTTCAAAATAAAATTGCTCACCGATCCATCTCTAATATACCTCGGAAAGAGTTTTAGCGCTAAATGGAAAGACATGCTGGCAAAAATCAATTCACTAAGCAACCATTATGGCTCACGAGGAAACGTACCCTTTGATTCACAAACAGCAGGGTCTGGAGGCAAAGTCAACACACATAAAAAAAATAACAGAGGAAAAAAAGACCTTGACATTGTTGTGGTTCAACCCCAGCCAACAATCAGCACCAGACAGCCGCTCGCTCACTCCCCCGCAGTGGGATAGGGGACAGGAGAGTAAAAGTGAGAAAACTGGTGGGTTGAGATAAAGGCAGTTTAATAGGTAAAGCAAAAGCTGCGCATGCAAGCAAAGCCAAACAAGGAATTCATTCACTCCTTCCCATCGCAGGCAGGCGTTCAGCCATCCGCAGGACAGCAGGGCTCCATCACGCGTAACGGTGACTTGGGAAGACAAGACGCCATCACTCCGGATGTTCCCCCCCTTCTTTCTTCTTCTCCCAGCTTTACACACTGAGCACGATGCCATGTGGTGTGGAATATCCCTGGGGTCAGTTGGGGTCAGCTGTCCCAGCTGTGTCCCCTCCCACCCCCTTGTGCCCCCCCAGCCTCTGGCTGGTGGGGTGAGGAGCAGAACAGCCCTTGACTCTGTGTGAGCACTGCTCAGCGGTAACGAAACATCCCTCTGTTATCAGCACCATGTCCAGCACAAACCCCAAAAACAGCCCCATCCTAGCTCCTGTGAAGAAAATTAACTCTATCCCAGCCAGAACTAGCACAGGTGTAATCCATTTTCACCCTACATTGGGAAGCACCCAAGAGTTTTTGAATCTCAGCAACCTTTTTCTTGCTTTTAAATGAGAACTCTTGCAGAAGCCTTACCCAAATACCAGAAAGCTAACGCTGAGCTGGCATCCACAGAGCATCGTTGAGGCTTGGGACCAATGATGGAGAAAACAAAGACAGCTGAAAGAAATCTTCCCTCCTTTAGAAAGTCAGACATAGGAGGAGCCAAGGCTCCAATCTCAGGGTTTGTGAGATGGGTTATAGCTTGCATCAACTTTTGTGCTTCTCAGCAAAGCCAATAAAAGTTGAGTAATTTGGCAGCCATGCACATAAGCAAACAATTGCGATAGTACAAGCCCTCCTGCCGTGGCAGACTACGTGCATTCAGGTCTTAGTGGGTTTATTGGAAAGTCCAATGCTTAAGCTTAACCCAACTTTTGTCAGCAAAGCGCAGCCACAATAGTTTTCCCCAAAGCAGCTGAGCTGCAAATGCTCATTTCATTCCAGGAGCGGTGCCGTACTTGGAGGGAAGGACGATAACCTCCACCAATGGCCTAAGATTGCTTTAACAGCAACAACACCTACCTGCCCGCATATTTCCAAAAGCCAGACTTTTAGACAGGGAAACGTGTGAAAATCCAACCCACGCAGAAACTCAGTACCCAGAACAAGCAAAGCTCTACCTCACGCCCTGTCCTCCTCTGAATGCTTTCAAATCCCATTACCGATATAAAGCAACAATCTCCCAAATAGCAAAAAAAAGGGATGGGTTTTTTTGTTTGTTTTATAGTGGGCTATGATAAAACTGGGATTCACTGGAGTTTTAGAGGAGACAAACTCTTCCCTGCTTTACAATTTCCCAGCTACTCAAACAGCACAGTAAAAGGCAGAGGAATATCCACTCTTCGTCAGGAACCCTGGAACTGAGAAAGGACAATGTGCTCTGGGACGATGCTTTAAAACTCTGTGTCCCAGCTGTGTGTCTCCACTGGCAGGCAGAGGTTGGCAAACACGAACGCCAGCACCTGGTCCCTCCAACAAGGCTCCTCAAGAATGATTTCCTTCCAACAGCCAGAGACTCGAGCTGCAGTGCCGGCATGGCTGATCCCCATTCCTCAAAGGCACTCCACACCAAGCTGTTCCCCAAAGACGGACGGATGCCAGAACTGCCAGAGATGCTGAGCTGGCTGATCTTCACTGGTGAGCCTGCAAATATGTAAGATTCCTACAAGTCCCTTCCTTGCCTTGGCCTTTTCCTCTCCTTTTCCAAGCTAAGAGACAAGACAAAGCGTATATATAATTTTCTCCTGTGACACAAGAAAAAGACGACAGTACCTTACATTTCAAGCTCTATTGTAGCAGACTGTTTGGTTCCTCATTCCTCCAGCTGCAGAGTTTCTGCCTCACTAAAACCAAATCTATAATCACCTGCACAGCAGAGATATTTACAGATATGGTTCCCCTAGATGGGGAGGAACTTCTGATCAGGGGGCAAAGGGATAGGACCAGGGGGAATGGTTTGAAGCTGGAAGAGGGGAGATGGAGATGAGATGTGAGGAAGAAATGTTTTCCTGTGCGGGGGGTGAGGCAGTGGCCCAGGGTGCCCAGAGAAGCTGTGGATGCCCCATCCCTGGAGGGGTTCAAGGCCAGGCTGGATGAGGCTTTGGGCAACCTGGGCTGGTGGGAGGTGTCCCTGCCCATGGCAGGGGGTGGCACTGGGTGGGCTTTAAGGTCCCTTCCCACCTAAACTATTTCATGGCTCTATGATTTTTAAAAGTGATGACTGCCAGCCTGACAAGCCCTGTAATGGTTCAGCTCAGCCACAGATCAGCTCTCTCTGCTCCTCCAGCTGGTCCTGATCAGGTTCACATCAAATGATGTGGTTTTAGCATCAAACCCAGGGAAGAGTTCACCAGTAGCCCTAAAGAGCTCAACTGAAAAGGCTCGGCTGCACCACAGAGGTTGTCTCCCCTGCCTGCTTTTTGAAGTGAAAAGTCAGCAGGAGAGATGGAAGGTTCTGTGGCTGGCAAAGCTCTCTGCCAAATCCTGGCTTGCTGCTGGAGAGAGACTGGGAGGCATGATTTAAAGAGAAAGTCCAGAGCATCAGCTTAGGAGAGATTAAGTGGTACGGAAAGCCCAGCTGGAGGGGAGACAGCCTGGAGATTCTTTTCTGATCATTTTCACTGCAACTGCAAGATCCAAGTGAGACGACAAAAGGCAGTAGCCTAGAGAACCAGCCATGCTACATACCAACACCACGGGTCAGCAGCAAGTCAATGTGGGACTACAGGCACACATGCAGTAGCCAAAGCTTCTGCTATGGCTGGATGGAGCAATGCCTTAAAACCTCTTCAAGAAAAGGTGAGACAGAAAGAGGGAGTGCTACATCACCATACGGATGCATGGAACAGTTGTGATGAGGATCTGCCCCTGCCTGAACACCAGGACAGCAGAGTGAGTAAAGCCCTTTGGAACAGTCTCGAGGAGCATGAGGTTCGTGTGATGTTTTGCCTAGGAAGCTGGACACCTCAAGAAAGGAAGAACTTGGGCATCAATTTACTGGAGGATCTGCAAACTGTGGCTGACAACGAGGTTTTGGTGGGAGGTCCCGGCAGTGAGCAGTGTCAGAGCAGACCATGAGGATCACTGCGAATGCCGACTGCCACAACAACCTCCCGAAAAAAATCAAGACTGGGTATACGTACCTCCTTCTGACTTCAAATATAAACGTAATTCCTCCCTCCTCCTCCTTCTCTCCACCCCCACTAATATTTTTATTTGACCTTCGAAATATAAAGAATATCAAGTCTCATTTGTCTCTGCTGAGATCTCTCTTGCAAGATTTCTCCGGCCTCAGACTAAGAGCTTTTCTTCCAATTGTTCAGGCAAGTAAGTGCATGCGTGGGAAAAAGAAAGGAAGGAGAATTTCTAACAGCATAAATTAAAAAGAAACCTTCCTGCCTTCTCTCTGATTTAAAGGTTTCATTTTGCTAAAAAATGGAATATCACAAACTAGTTACCGTGTACCTTCCGGAACGGGGTGAAACTGCTAAACTAAAAATCAAGCAAACAAAAACAGCTTTTCAGAAACATCATCGAAGTGCTTTTTAGTCATTAACATTTTTTTGAAAGACCTTTGCAGATCGTTTTAGTTCAGCAGTGAACCTGGCTCCTGTCGCATCTTCCAGTCATCACTTTCCTCTCCCACTTTGTGCGAAGTCGTCAAGCAGCTCCCCCTCAATACCAACCGACAAATACTTTACCTGTGTCCCAAGATCTTTCATCCTGGCCAAGGCAAGCTCTCTCAGGTTCCCGTGCTCCACTCCAGAGCTGACCAGTGGCATTGGGATATCTCTGCACGTAAGAGGAAAAAAACCAAAACTTCAAACAACCTCATTAGCAGACAATAAAGTGCCATCATGGTCACCTAAGCCAAGATCCCAAATAGCTGTCCACAGAACTTATCTGAATTATCTTTGTTTCAAGTCTTTGGTTGAATAAGAAATAACAGAGGCAAAACATGACTAAAAGCAGGAGAAAAATGAAGGGAAAAAGCTAGATTTTAGTTTATAGACTGAAGACAAAAGTAGGCTTTTACAATCCTGAGGAAATAGGTTGTAATTTTGCTCTCAGTTCTTCACTTGGAAGTCTGGAAAGAAAAGAAAAAAAAAAGATCATCCAGCTGAGCCAAGTCAGATGTTCTTCATGGTATCTGTTGCTGGAGACCAGCAATTGGGAACCAGGCTGCGTCTTCCTGCAGTCTCCAAGCTGAATGCCCATCAGGGAAAATTCATCAGAATTACAACATTTTAATACTGGGGCTGCTTAAAAGTGCAAAAGCTCTGTTTGGCACACGATTTGCAGCGAAGCCCAGACAGAAAGTCCAGGGCCTTCCGATGGGAATGTAAATCATGAGTCAGATGGCAGCTTCTTCCTGCAGTTCTCCAAGGCAGGTACTAAAATAAAATTGGAAAGCAAGACCGGGGTTGGCCTCTCCGCTGCCTTCCAGGGCAGTTTGTCCCTCTAGAGATGAGGAAAGCAGGATACCATCCCTAGGGAAAGGAGGATTGATGAGTCCAGATCATGTCAATTATTGGCACATTCTGCTCCGCATCCACCTCCCATCTAATGCTGTCCTGTACAGTGATGCCAAATGCTTCTCCCTCTCCTCCTCAAACTCCACCCTGATAACATCTCTGATAACACACCACCCAAGCACACTACTGCATAATTCAAAACCCTCCAGATTTTTTATGGGGAAATAAGGACCATACAAATGCGAAAGATCCTCGGCACATTGTACAAGAGGTTGGTCTCAAAAAAGGGCTCAAACGCTCCTTGGTGAGTGTTCCTCCTTTTCCTTTATGTATGCAAGCATTCAACAAGGAGCAGAATATCACAAAACAGCATACAGAGAAGGGGATGGTTCGGGGAATTGGTAATGTAATTAGCTTAATCCATCTTGGTTCAGTAGTGATTGAAAGTCATCACCATCTAGCAGCTGTCTGATGACCTCTGTAAAATGTATTAATTGATCTATTCAGCTCCTTGAGGACCTGCATGCACACCATGGCCTCCATTAACACTTACTATTTTTGGCAGTAGCTGGATAAAAGATAAAGGTCTTCAAGAGTCCTAGAGACCTGATCCTTGTGCTGCTTCAGGTCTGAGACACTGGCAGAGGGGGACAAGAAAAGTTCTTTATTGCTAAGAATGAAGAAAAGGGCTCCAGACTCCAGGATTCTCCTGCCATTTGGATTTAGATGAGATGTGAGGAAGAAATGTTTCCCTGTGCGGGGGGTGAGGCAGTGGCCCAGGTTGCCCAGAGAAGCTGTGGATGCCCCATCCCTGGAGGGGTTCAAGGCCAGGCTGGATGAGGCTTTGGGCAACCTGGGCTAGTGGGAGGTGTCCCTGCCCATGGCAGGGGGTGGGACTCGATGGGCTTTAAGGTCCCTTCCCACCCAGACCATCCTGGGATTCTGTGCCAAAAAGCCGAGGCAAAACACCATTAGCTAACCAGTTGATTTATCCAGTGGATTTCTTTGAGTAAGACACTGCAGAGCCAACACAACATACTTCAAAGAGCTTCAATTAGAGGAAATGAGCCCTTCACATTGTGACTAAAGGACACGCTGGAGGAGAGCGGCATTCTCATCGGGGTATGTTAGACCTACAGTGATAATCGAACTAAACGCCTTTCTTCTAATTATGGAACAACTCCAAAAAGTCAGGCTGTATGTATTTTTTTTACAGATGAAACATCCTGACATCTTCCAGTAGCAGGGCTTTAGCTAAATCCAGAGTCAGCTACGAAAGAGTAAATAAAGCACTGTGAATAACAGATAGATTACAACATACAGTAACTTGAGCCTCTCTCATCTGCCTACTAGGGAGCAAACTAAATTAAAATAGGAATGTTTAATTTTTTTTTTAAGAAAAAGAAAGCAAGGAAGAGGTTTTCCATCCCCACTTCAGACTAGGGCAGAGTATTTAAATGAATGCCCTGTGTGCATTGTGAGCATACACACCAAGTGCCTGTTTTGAACAGCCACAAGACAGCACTGTACCAGTGATCTTAGGACTCGTTAAAATGCGAAACAAATTCAGGGATACCGGGGATTAAATCCCAACCTTATTAAAGTTAATGTGCAATTTGCCAGGAGCTTCAACAGGGCTTATTTAATCTCCTATTTTCAAACATTTTGCATTATAGGCACTTGTGAGGCAGCTGACTGAAGCACAAAGGGAAAGTTTAAAGACCTTGGGTCTGCTCTCCTCTCAGCTTATTATACGATCTCGGCTGAGTGAGGTACTTTATTTCTTCATATCTACGCGGCCCCATCAGTACAGTGAAAATAACAACCATATAAAACAGCGCGACCCATCAAAGTCTCGAGGTGTGCACCACTACTGTCACTTCACACCTTCTCATACAGCAAAGCACTTGGGTGATAATGAGGGTCACAAATATTCATGAGAATACAGTATCAAGCATGAGGCTTTGAGCAACCCGGGCTGGTGGGAGGTGTCCCTGGCCGTGGCAGGGGGTGGGACTCAATGGTCTTGAAGGTCCTTCCAACCCAAACCATCCTGGGATTCTATGATTCTATGATCTCTGACTAGTTACAAAAAACCCTGGAAGATATATTCTCCTCCATTCAGCCATTAGCAACAGCACCTTTTTTTTTAAAAAAAAAACATATTTAACCCTGTTTCCTGAAGCAGAAAGACTTCTGTGAGTGCTTTGTCATCGACACCTCTCCCACGCTCACCCAACTGATTATTTTCAGCATGTGAGCGACTGCAACAATATTGAGTCCCTTATGTCTCCCCAAAACCTGGTACTAGGGCACAGAGATCCCAAACAGTGGCCCTAGTAAGGGCATAGATAGGTCAGTCTTTTTTCCAGTGGTGTTTGCTAAAAAAAAAACCTGAAAGCATGTATCAAATGGCCAGTTCGTACATAGAGAGCTTGGGATAACTCGCCGTCCGGGGAACAAGCTGAGTCTGAAAGGATTGTGGAAATACAGCCTGAAATTCATGATATGAAGGATGGAGGGCTTGTGGAGGGAGATGGAAAGGGCCTGGGGCAGTGATGGAGAATGGCAAAAAGTCGCTATCCCTCTGTAAAACAGTGCTGGGAACAGGCCAGAAATGTTTTTAGAAGTCTGGCTTTGTTCATTATTCTGTTACAGAGTCACACAATGGCCTTGAAAGCAATTTAGATCAAAGTAATAGCTTTTGGACTTCGCACTGGAGGTGTAAAAATCTGTAATCACCGCAAACAAGTTTCAGATAACGTGAGCCAGTCAGTAAGAAAACAGCTATTCCACTGGAACATAATAACCGACAACCGGGTGACAGCTGGATGGAGGCTGCTGCTGTTGGCAGAAGAAATCAGAGCCGAGCTCAGGCACACCAGCACACCAAGCAAAGACTTGTGTTCCTCAGGAGGAGACCCGCTAGGCTGCAAACTCACGCCATCCTCTAAGAATAAATCTCTTCGTTTCAGGTACGATGCTACGGTGACAGCACGACGAACAAACGGACCATTGTGTCTACAGCGGAACTGAGGAGGAAGAAGATGTGCAGGGAGAAAAGGCAAGAGCTTTCACTTTAGTAACACTCCTACAAGGGATGTGAAAAGCCTGGGGGAACCAAGCAGATACTTCTTGTAATCCCTGTTTTGCTTTCTTCAACAGTATCACCTCCTTCTTCTCTGAGCTCACCTACAACCACCAGTTCCTCACACTAACGAAGATCAGAGAATCACAGAATGGTTTGGTTAAACAAAAGGTTGATGCTCCTCTGCACGTATTTCCACAGCTCATTGTCTTGAAGACGGGGATTATTCCAGACAAGGTCTTACCAAAGCCCCGTCTGGCTGCTGCATTAATACCTCCATCTCTAAGAAGAGTTACCCTGAAGAACGACACTTTTCACAGCTGCATTCACCAGTGACTTATTCATATGACAGACCAAGACATTGAGAACTTTTCCTCCTCTGCTCTTCTCACATGGTGATCTCACCGTTTGCAGCAAAACCCCCTCCGAGTCTGACCCCAAACCTCCCTGACCTGCATCTCACCCCATTCCTACCACTCCACCTTCACCACCGCCGGATCCCGCCTGTGCATCCTCTCTCTTCCAGTGATGCTTCCCAGCCCTCCACAGTTTCCTCGATGCCCTATTACTTCTTGCATCATTGTAAATAAATACAATTTTGAGCAAGATTCATTTTGAAATGTATATTTGAGACATTCCACTAATAACCCCGCGTCCATTCTTTCTTTGGCAAAGCCACCCAGTGTTTCTTGCCATCAGCTGCTTTCTTCTCTACCACGTTTCTCTGCTTATCCCCACTCCATCACATTTCTGACAGGGCACAAAATCAAATAAATGCCTTTGAGAAGTCCAGGCAGGTGAGGTCTAATGCACAAGGTTTTCTCATCCTACATGCTGTTGGAGAACTCGTCGTTGGCGCCGTTTCCAGCTCCCGTAGCTGGAAGCCAACCGAATATTGTCTGTACATGCAAATATAGGAAGTATGCTACAGCCTCTCTTCCTAATATCAGGCAGATGTAGGAGATAACAGAAGAAAAATAATCCAAGGAAGACCCCGCAGCACTCAATGGAAGTATTATCTATCGCCCTGGGAGGTGAGCACCGGAAAGAACGGCATTACCAGAGTATGTTTATGAGAACCCCGCAACAGCCACGGGGAAAGAAAGGAAGTGTCTATAGCCAAAAAAAATGACACACCTCGCAGCCCCTGCAATAAACACAAGAAACTTCACCCACGGCCAAGAGGCAATTATCCATCAATATCACCAAAGTACTGCGTGTGCCACATTCCATGCTCTTGTCTGGCCGGCAGCGAAAGCAGGGACTCCAGAAATGTGGAGGTTTCTGGGTGTATTAGAGAGACAGTTCAATTTACATAGCTGCTCATTCTACTTGGCCTTTCCCATTCTGAACAGATTAGAAGCAGTTTAAAAAAATCTTTAGTGCACTAACGATTACGGCTGAAAAATAATAAAAGGTTGGGTCAGAGTAAGAATCCCTCCAAGTGCAATAAATCAAGATACAAAGCCCACCAGAGAAAATTACCTCTGAACACGGTAGACACGTGTCCACGGTGGGACGAGGGCCAGGATTCTGGCCACCAGATCCACAAGAGTGCTGGGCGGGTAGCTCTTGTATCTTCCAGTCTTCCAGAGCTCGTACAGACCAGTGCCACGGATCACTAGTGTTGGGTAGAGCTTCATACCGTCTGGGCGAAAAGCAGGGTTCTCAAAAAACTCCTGAAAAAGTAGAACAAAAAAAGCCAGTTAGGGTAAAACAAATTACATTTCCCGGAGCATCAGTACCCCAACAAAGCCAATTTCAAGATAGATTTTGTAAAAGACAATTCTAAGTGCGGTTTAAGAATTACTGGCTTACATTGAGTTGCTAGTATTTATCAGTTTATGACTTTTTTTAAATAAAAAAGAGTATCTTCTCAGTTTAAAGAGAAGGCTACTGAACAAAAAAAATCCACATGACAATGCTGCGAGTCAAACCTGTACATTACTTCTACCTTCCAGCATGAATTCAATAGATACCGCACCATTTATTGTAACAGATTCGGCTCAGAATTAGAACAATAGGAATGAGTGTACTTATCTTCAATCTCAGCAGACCACATTTGGAGATTAATCAATGTGTCTGGGACACATCATTTGAATAGCAATGAAGAAAAACAGATTTATTCTACAATGATGTTCTGAACAATCCTGGAGAATGGGAGGACAAACTGTATCTCCTGCTAACTCCTATGACTAAATCCCAGCACAGAACTGCAAATTAAACGGCGCTATACAACAATCACTTTTTTTTTTTTGCAGATTAAATTTCAGTAATGACAATTAAAATAAAACCACTTACAAAAATAAAAAACAAGGCAAGGCACGCCGAACCAGGCAACCATTACATTGACTAAGTGATGACATGGCCCTCATTATAACAGCATCTACGGGGCACATCTCCTTCTAGATTAGACCTATGCACACTTGAAATCTGCTGCTTGATCCCTCTCCAGCACGCTATTCTCATAGCAATACAAAAAAACATAAATACAAGTTTGTTAAGCTGAGTTAACGGCGGGCTCTCGTGGTCCCACCAGTTGCTGCGCTGCCGCTGGTCCTCACTTTGCTGAAGTGCTTCAACACATTCACGTGGCCCAGACCCACTTGGACATTTTGCCCCATTTCCTACTGCTGCTGTGGGCTAACCCAGCTCCTGGAGTGCTCCAGCAAGCCCTGACGTTGGGATAATGTTGGAATAAAGTGCCCTTAGCAGCCTGCTGGGAGCAGGACCTCCCCACCTCACTGTGCTTCACAAAACCTTATTTTAACACAGGAAAAAGCAGCAAACGGTTTGCTGCTAGCTTAAGCACACCCAAATGGATCTGCACAGGCTCGAAGGCATGCTGGATCCAGCACAAGGACAGGAAGAGGCGAGGAAGGTCAGAGGAGCGGCAGGAGCGCGTCACCCCAGGCGGGTGCTGGCAGACTCCCTGCTTAAGCCTGGGGCCAGCGGCAGCAGCCTCTGCCCAACGGCCCTGCTGTGCGGCTGCCGAGCAGAACAGACCCGAGAGCTAACCCAGACAGAAAAAGAAAACAGTTTAAAAATATCTTTTCCATGCAGACCAGCCTCCTGAGCCATTTATACACATCCTCACAACCAGAAAGGACAACCGAGTCAGTTTAAGAGACAAAACAAGATCTGGACCATGGATAAAGTCATGGAATCACAGAACGGTTTGGGTGGGAAGGGACCCTCAAAGATCATTGAGTCCCCCCCCGCCCTGGGCAGGGACACCTCCCACCAGCCCAGGTTGCCCAAAGCCTCATCCAGCCTGGCCTTGAACCCCTCCAGGGATGGGGCATCCACAGCTTCTCTGGGCACCCTGGGCCACTGCCTCACCCCCCGCACAGGGAAACATTTCTTCCTCACATCTCATCTCCATCTCCCCTCTTCCAGCTTCAAACCGTTCCCCCTCGTCCTGTCCCTGCACCCCCTGATCCAGAGCCCCCCCATCTCTCCTGTAGCCCCCTTTCAGCACTGGAAGGTGCTGGAAGGTCTCCCCGGAGCCTTCTCTTCTCCAGGCTGCACACCCCCAACGCTCTCAGCCTGTCCTCGCACGGGAGGACGCAGGACAGGACACGGGTGACTTATCTGGAGGCACTCTGGCTGGTTTGTGCTGCAGCTCCACCAGCAGCAGATGCGATGGCTCCCTGCCCTGCCCACGCCGTCCTGCTCCCAGCCTCGTGCCAGCTCCGTTCCTGGTGGGCCCTGGACCAGGATGACTCACCTCGCTAATGAGAGAGAACCCAACCAGCATTTTGAGGAGAGAGCTTTTCTTTTGTTCCAGCCTTGGGCTGGGTTACGGAGCGGTCTATTCAGCACCGCTGATGAATCACAGAATATCTCAACCTGGAAGGGACCCATCAGGACCATCGAGTCCAACCCCAGTAGGGAAGTAAGGTCAGAAACAGGATCTGCCCCCGTGTGACAGCAGGGGACCATTATGTCTGCTTAATGCATCTCTTGGAAGCGTGTCTCCTCCCCTCTGCTCTGAGGGTTCAGTTTGACTTTATGGGTCAATACTGTCACTGGCGGCTGTCAGAAAAGGCAGATGTGCTCTGCCCTTGCCTGACCACCCTCACCACTTCTTCTATGCTGGCCCTGGTGTGCATCTGATGCTCAAGATGCAAAGAGGGGGGGGAAAAAAATACATCACCGGACCCATTTTCAAAGCAGCCAGCCGAAGAAGATGTGTAACCCAAAGTCATATCACCTATGAGGTAGCGTAAGGTCAGAAAAATAATTCAGGGTCTTGTTGTCCTGGAACAACCCAAAAGGACAGCCTCCCATCTTTTGTGGGTGGCGAGAGGTGCTCTAATGTAAAACAAAGCGACTGTGAAAGAAGGAATAAGGAAATGGTGTAAGAGGTGATTGTTCCGACGAGAGGAGCTCCTCGGCCAAGTGGCACTGAAGAAGAGAAAGACATTAAGGTACGGACGCAACGATGCTTCCCCAGTGACATCTACAAAGGTAAATCATTCCAGCAAGGAAAAAAAGGCTCCCAGTAAGGTTATGTGTTAACATTCAAACAATTTTTTTGTGTGCATGATTCACCGGTCAGAATGTTCAAACACCCCCTGATTTCCATTGCAGATGGAAGGCAGGCATCGACACAGCACTGAGTTCAAGCCATCCCCCAGTCAAAGGCAAGGTCAGAAGTTAAGGTTTCTAACCGCACCGTGAATTTTGCCGCTTCATACACACTGCACATTTTACGTCAATATATTAAACTCGCTGATAATGCTACTTCATATTTCAGCAATGCTGGCATTTTAAAAAATTAACATATTTTCATATTTATTTCTTAAACTATTTCTCAAAATGTTCCTCGAGTTTAATTATTTCCAAAGTAATTAATTTCACGCAATATGACAAAGCAGTGTCTCCTTTTTTTCCTGAGCCCCTTTTTCCAGTGGTAAACTTTAAATAGCTTCTGTAAATCCCCATATTTAAAGGCTTAACCTTTTCCCGTTTACAAACAGTTTTGATTAAGTCTCTCATGAAACAAAGGAACTATAAAATGCTAACACATGCCAAGCTTTAGTAGGAATTGTTGCTTTTTTTTTTTTTAATTAGACACCTTAAAAGGTGTCTTCAACTGATAAAAACGTTCAGAACAGTTTAATGCCAAAACAAATTCAATCCTTTAAACAACATTTGTTCCAGAGCCCACCATCCACAGCATCACCAGAGTTAACAGGAGGCTCTCCACCGGCTCTGGCAAGCGCTCAACCAGGGCTTAAACCCACATCTGCTAATGCACCGGGAAGTTAGAGGTGAAAGATGACCTAGAGAGAAGGGATCCTTACGTATCGCCAGTCTTTTTGAATCACTCGAGGATGCGGCATGAATATTCCAAATGGAAGCACGGACAACTTCAAAGCTACTAAACCGATTTTCTTTGAAGTTTTCTCCCCTCTAGCTGGAGACTAAGCCAACCAGCACTTAACATGTCTCGTATAATAAAGACGGATGCTAGAGTAAAATTTTTAAATTTGCACATGTAGACGATGGACAGGATGTGAGAGGTTATCACAGTGGTTTAATTGTAATTTAAAAAAAAGGTCAATTCAGATCAGCTGGAACTTCAGTGATCTGGAGGCTCATAAATACAAACCTTTTCATACCCTAAAATAACATCTCTCATAACCCTGCCCATCTTTTGCAGTACTAGAGAAAGGTTGAGCACTTTTTCACAGTAAATATGAGTAACCAGAGAATCCTGGAATTCACTATTTTTTTTTTTTGCTTTACCTGAGCTCCATTAAACATCCTTTACTCCTAGGAACAGCTGCTCCGTGAATTACTAACAATGAATCTTAATAAGATCCCATCAGCACACATTCACTCTACAAGGTTACACAAGTTAGCCGCTAACGTGTTTTATGAGAACAGTAATTGATTTTAGTAGCATATGCCTTTGTTGTAGAAGTTCCCCGTTATTAAAGCTAATGGCATCTATAGGATCCATTCATCCACCACCTCATAAACTCACTGCCACTATGAATAATCAGGGTCCAACGGGTATAAAATTAGTCATTTCGATGCCAAGAAGTCACTGATTTTTCCATCAAGGCAGACACATCACAGTCCATGATGGAATTCTCTTGCCCAACTCCCATCAATCGCTTTGAGTCTTCAAACCTGAATGACATTGTAACTCCTGTCCAAGAAAACAGGCATCAGCTGAAACCCCAAAGTCAATGTTAACACTATGTGAACCAAAAAACGATCAGAATATAAGAGGGGACAGAATCAGGAGTCCTGAACTCCAATACTTCACTTTCATGTGCTTTTGCAATAATATTTTTAAATAGAAAACCTGTTAGTCACCTCTGCATCTGTTCAGAGGTCCAACAGGAAGGTCAAATGATTTGGGATCACAATGAGACCACACAGCGCTCTGGTCCCATTTTCAAGACACCTCAGTCGATATCAAAAGATTATACTTTGCAGTTTTAATCTGATTTTACTGACCACTTTAAGCACAGAACAAATTAAAAACTTGTTTTGAAGACACTCCAAAGCTGCAGTTCTCCAAAAATAGAAAAATATCATTTTATGGGATTCTACTTCAACATTTTCCAGACCAAAAATTCAGTTGCCACCTTTAATCTTCTTGCTCTCAAGATGTTCAACTGTTGGGGAAGATATCAGTTATGGGATAAACACAGTA